TTTAAAGTTGTGTTATTATTGTTAAATAAAATAACATCATACATTTTATAAGTACTGTACAATATAATTAAGATGTTGTGTCAATTTATAAGACATTAAATAACTAAGTTTTTAATAATAGGATAGTAATTGCTTTGTATCAAAATCAAATAAGTGTTGTTTTGTTGCAGGTTTAAAATGTTGAGTTGAATTTAAAGTTTTTATATTACTTGTTAAAAGCAAGTTCCATAACTGCAGCCCTTGGCAAGATATCAAAAAATCAGCTTGTTTTGATAATGTTTTTGGTATAATAAAATTATTTATTGAGTATTTAGTTTCCTATTTGTGGTTTAAAGAAAAAAAGTAAGTTTAAAAAAAAAAAATGCTTGGTAGCATACCATTTTTAAACTTAAACATAAAAATAAGTATATTAAGAATATTTATTTAATAGACATTAGGCACTTTAATTTCTCTTAGTAGTGGTCTGGCACTAGCGTATTTATTTGCATTTAATATCAAGCGACCTGCTTGTTTTTGTATTTTGTAGATCGTATTTAATTTTGAATGATAAGTACTTTCCCAGATAATGTTGCAGTAGCTGATGTAGCTATGAATAAATGCAAAATAAATATTTTTTAAACAATTTGTATTCTGGATATGTTTTGTTTTATACATAATATAATAATAATTTTAGATATTTTATTTTTTATTACTTTGATTTGATTACTCCAGCTAATATGTTCATTAAGAATTACGCCTAAAAACTTGATCGAGTATTCTCGTTTAAGTTTAGTTTTATCAATTAGTAAATCAGGTAGTTTTCAGGGGAGGGTTTCAGATTTTGATAATTTTGTAAAAAGAATGTTTACTTTTTTTGACATTTAAAGAGAGTTTGTTAGCCTTAAACCATTCATTCAGGTTTTCAAGTTCTTGATTAACAGTGTTAAATAATAGGCTAATGTTTGTGTGGCTAAAGAATACTTGCGTATCATCAGCAAAAAGGACAAAGTTAAGTATGTTAGAAAATAAGTAGACAGTGCAGACTGGACTGGTATGGGCGCCCAAAAAAAAGCACCCAAAAATTATTTTTTTTAATTTATTTTTCTTTTGCTTTTTTATGAAAAATAGAAAAAAATTCCAGTTTTTAATGCAGTATTATATAAATAATTTTCAGTTAATTTTAGCCAATTCATTTTTTCTTCAAGACAACAAAATGAATTAAAAAGAAAATGTAAAAACTTTTTTACATAACTACGTAATTTGCATTTGTTTACTAACTGGCGTAACTATCGCACAAGTTAAATTTTTGAATGATTGAATGTTTATCTTTAGCTTGCTATTTTAATTTATGTGAGGAAAAAACAAAGTGTAAACTTTTTCTGAAAGTTTTTGTTTTTCAATATTCTTTTAAATGGTAAAAATAAAAATTTCAATAACTATGCTAGATAACAATAAATATGCTTTTAATTCAAAAAAACACTTCATTTTTAAAATTTTGGTTACCGTAATTATCTCTTCTTTAATTATCTTTAATTTAAAAGGCGCCTTAAAATCACTTTTAAAATTATTAATCTTTAGTAAAAGTTAAATGAACAGGTTTGCTAATATTAAAATTAAAATTTTAAAATTAAATAATTAGTAAATAAGTTTATTAAATGCTAATGTTATTTTTTCGAATAGTTCATTAAATGAATTTGTTTATTAAATGCTTATGTTTTTAATTTAAATACAAGACCTAAAACTATTTTGTTAATTTTACAAATATTACGCACTTTAATATATGTAAATATATTATTTAATGTAAATATTGATTAAAAATGGTTTAAGGTATTTAAACATTTAAACACTAAAATTAAATTTACAAAAAGATAGTAATAATTATTTACTTATAGGGTGGTATTTGCAACAAAAGCGTTAATTAAAGTAAAATAGCTTTCTTATTGTATCTAAAGTAACATCGTCCTCCAGTAAATTCATGTATTCAAAAAAAAAATTGTTATAATTTATTGTTGCGGCACCAATTTAACTAGGAGAAAAGGAAGGAGGGGGTTGGAGGAGAGGAGAAAGAGGGGGTAGCTCAAAAACACACACACACACACACCCTCTCAACGTTGCTGGAAAAAAATGGTATCCCCAAATAAACTCTGGGTTCTTCACTGGTAGATATCGTTAATATAAACAAGGAATAACAATGGACCAAGAATTGATCCTTGTGGAACCCCACAAGTAATGTTTTTAAGTCAAGTTACAGTGTTGTTTTATGATAAAGCTTGTTTCCGATTATTAAGGTAAAAGCGAAACCATTTTAAATTGTTATTTCTTATTCTATCATTATACTGTTTATAAAGAAGAATTTTGTAGTCAACAGTGTCAAACGCTTTTGAAAGATTGAGAAATACCCCAAGAGTGTGTTTATTGTTGTCAAACAAATTTAAAGTTTCATTGAAAAGTTTGGCTACAGCGTATTCTGTTGAATGGTGTTTTTGAAGGCCATGTTGGTTATTATTTAGCAGGTGGTGGTTTACTAGATAACTGTTTAGCTTATTGTGCATTATGCACTCTAATTTTTTTGAAATGCATGGCAAAATAGAAATAGACCTGTAGTTAGAAGCAATAGAATTATCTCCGTTTTTAAATATAGGAACAACTTTTACTAGCTTTAGCTGGTCAGGGAACACCCCATTTTTTAAAGACAGATTACAGATATGCAGAAAGGGATATTCAATAATATTGTAGACATTTTTTACAACGTTCACGCTCATTTCATCTAGTCCTGGACTTTTGTTTTGTTGTAAGGTATTAAATGCATTTTTAAGCTCATCCAGAGTTATTTCATGCTCGTTCATGACTGAGGCTTTATTTCCTAGATACGATTTATAACATTTTTTTCCAGGAGTTATTTTATTAGCTAATTTTTCCCCATTTTTTATAAAATAGTTATTAAATTTCTCTGCAATATCTATTGTCTTATTAGCTACTGTATCATTTTCATCTGTTTTTAAGTATTGCTGGGACACTTTGGTAGCATCTTTTTTTTCCCTGTTACCTCTTTTATTACGCCCCATGTTTTTTTGGTGTTACCGCAATAATTTTTTAATAAATTGCAATAGTTTTTTTAACTTTTCAAGTTTTTGTATTGTTTAAATATTTTTTTCATTTTTATAAGTCTTTTTTTTTTCAAAAATTTTTCATAAAGTTTTTTTTTTTTTTTTGAAGATATGATAAGCCCTTTTGTCATCCAAGGACTTTTGAGGTTTTTGAGTTTAGTTAAGCTTCGGAAACGCTTTTTCGTACAAACTTGTAAAAGTGTGTTTAAAAATATTGTAAGCTGTGTTAGTATCTTTGCAATTAACAACATGATCCTAGTTTTCCATCGATAAGTTGCTTCGGAAATTTGTTATATTTTTTTCATTAATTTGCCTTTTTGTTATAATCATTGTTTTGTTTTCTTTTTTGTTGTTGAAATTGTTAAGTAGAAGAAATATTGGAAAATGGTCACTTTTGTCAGATTTTATTATTCCGCTTTGAATGTTACATTTTATGGTATTATTTGTAAATATGTTACCTATTAGGGTAGCTTTTGTGTAACCGTAATTTATATAGTGGTGGTAGTAAACTTGTCCTCAGAATTGTATTTATTATTAATGGCGTTTCGAAGAGGCTCAGCACCATTACCATTTTTAGTTACCATATTTGTTACTATTAAGGTTATCAAAAGCATGTAGAAGTTCTGTAACCATTTTGATATAATTTCTAATTGACAAAGAAAATATGAAATTTACCAATTCACAGATACAGCAGTGGATTACATCTAGGATGTGAAATATATAAATTTATTTATTTGTTTTAATTTAAATATTATTTAGAATCTTTACCTGAGTTTAAAAGTCAGATTCATAAAAAGTAAATTGTAAATACTAAGTTGTAAACTGTTAAACTTTTCATTAAGCTTTTGCAATAGGATAAATTGAACATTTCATTAGAACAGTGTTCACGTTTTTTAATAAACTGAGAATTTAAAGACGAGAAAAATTTCCAGAAATTACAATTCACAATCACTTAATTCGAGCCTTGTGATGATAATGAGTATGATGATGATGATAATGATGATATTGATGATGATGATGATATAATGATGATGGTGATGATGATGATGATGATGATGATGATAATGAAGATGATAATGATAAATATGATGATGATGATATTGATAATATTGATGATGATGATGATGATGATATAATGATGATGGTGATGATGATGATGATGATGATGATGATGATGATGATGATGATGATGATGATGATAATGAAGATGATAGTGATAAATATGATGATGATGATGATGATGATGATACTGATGATGATGATAATGATGACATTGATGATGATATTGATGATGATGATGATGATGATGATGTGGTGATAATGGTGATGGTGATGGTGATGATAATGATGATGATGATAATTATGATGATGATGATGATGATGATGATGATGATGATGATGATGATGATGATGATAATGATGATGATGATGATGATGATGATGATGATGATGATGATGATGATGATGATGATGATGATGATGATAGTTGTAATATTTATAATAAGTATGATGATGAAGTTTTCAAGTTGACAATTCAGATGGTGCTGTTGTTAGGTTCTTAGAACTATTAATAGCAAACTTCGAATAATACATTGAGGCGTAAAATAAACTAGAGATACCATTTTGAACAAATTTTAATATGATTTTTGAATTAAAAATAAAAAGTTTCATTAATTTGACTTTTTCATGTTTTGTTTAATTTTCAAAGTTTTGATCTTCTACCGTTTAAACTACCTTACTTTGATATCATTTACAAATTGTTCAATTCTTAATATTTTTTAGTTAAATTTAGTTAAAAATTTATAATTGAACTTAAATCAAAAGGTTATTAAAAGTAATAAATATAACTATCTTTAATTAATGTGTTTGTGGAAGGTAATAATTTTATCTTTATGTTACTATTATTTAATTTAGAATCTTCACCTAAGTTTGAAAGTCAGATTCCTACCATAAAAGGTAACAGTTGTTAGAAAATAGAATGATAACTAGATTTAACCATAAATGAGAAGTTTGTTTGAAAGTAATTAAACTTTACATAACCATCATATAGAGAGTTCACTATAATTTATTAGCATTATTCTTTTTTATTTAAATCAACAATTATAAAATATTTTAAAGAACAAAACTATAAACAACACTAAAGATAAAAAATTAAGTTAAAATGTAAGCTGTTTGTATTTATAGCAACATGTTTTGTTGTGCGTTATTATTACAACAATAACACACAACAAAAGCACATAACATAAGACGTTTATAAAAACACCTTGCATATTTGAAAGTGCACATTACACTTGCTTTATACGTTTGCAAAGTCAAACCATTTTGAAAACATGGAAACAACATAAAATAGACATAGATGCAAACTATAAACACCTATAACTTTTTAAAACATATTAACACATATGAAACATTATTAATAAACTACATATTTTAAGTACACATGATTTATATTAATATACATTATGTGTTTCAGAATAATTAAAAAAAGCTAGACAACACAACCTAGCTATAACAAAGCAGTAACACCCTTGGCACTAAATGCTGCCAAGTCACACTGCTTTAAGTACGCAGCTTGGCTGGCAA